GGTTTTATTGGATTATAATTCATAAGCCTCGATCGATAAATGAAGTGAAATATCGACACCACAATCGATAACCTATTTGGGCCATTTGAAGTAACATAATTTAGTGTTGCTCATGGCCCGACCCATTACCTTGGATGGCTTTTACGGTTGACAACCCATTTATTATCATTCCTATTGGGCCCTATTTCCTATTACCCTAAAAGCCCACACTTGGTACCTTTATATACCTCGCCCCGTTACTATTGAAGTAGTGTGAAAATTGAGAGAAAGGCAGAGTCCCTTTGCTTCGTGCTTTCTTCCTTGGCTTCGTGCCGCCTGTGCTTTGTCTTCTCCTCTTTTCTTAGCCTTTGTGGCTTACCCGTGAGCTCCCATAACCTCTTCACACTCAGCCCTTTATGGGCAAACCGTAGAGCAACCGTTTTGGGAAGATTGGTTTGGAATTTGGTTTGTTGTTTGTGGTGGTCAATTGATAGTAACTGAGCCTGAAAATTGAAAGATTGGAGTACAATATTCAACATTTGGTATCAGAGCAGGGTTGGTGGTGTATTTTTTTGACAAAAATCAACCAGAAATCGAATAGAAACGAAACAGAAACCGGCATAAAAGAAGCTGTCCAAAACTGTACAAAAACAGGACCTGCAAATCCATTTTTCGGCCAAACCAGTGACTGGTTGGACGAACGGAGCCACTAGTGGACTGTGCAGGCGGTGGCACTGTTGGAGGTCCGACGCGTGGTGGTCGAGGTGGCGCATGGGCAGTTTTCGGCAATGGTTTCTTCAAACAGTATCTTCATTTTGATTTCCTAAACGTACTAATATTATTGGTTTAGTGTTTCAAGTTATGCAAGAAAGTTAGACAATTTTATCCTTGGTGGGTCGACGGTCGCAAGAGCTGTATATTTACTGAATTACTTTAGGCCATAAATTGTGGCCTTAAAGCATTAAATTCACATCTCTCATAATTTACGGACTCAGGTAGGTCCGCTCTAGTAAATGTGCTTATCCTGTTTAAATTTCAGCATTACCGAGTAATCGTGTGGGGTGACATTAGGATTTGGGTTACCATGAAGGGGTAACTAGTGCTTTTCTTAGAAATTTAGGAATAAATTGCTCTTTTTGGAGTGTTGAATTTGAATGCAAGTTGGTAATTGCTTTTGTGCTCTAACTATTATTAGTCACTGTGTGGGACTGCATTGCATGAAAATTTGAATATTTTTTAACATATCTTCGTGTTACATTGATTATCCTATTAGAACACCTGGACTTGACCGTTTGAACATTCCATTGATCTGAGATTTTGAGTCTCACGAAACCCTGGGAATCTAGAACAGTGTATATTGTTGCCTTAGGATTACTTTGTGTGACTTATTTGTGCATTTTGGTTGTTCTGTTTTTCAAAATGTTTCACATTTCAAAATTAGAATTTTCAATGGGAAATGAGATTTTTAAATTTAGCAACAAAAGATGAATGTGATTTTGGTTCAACAAAAAGTTTCAAACGCCATTAGGGGTGGGCGCGATTCGGTTTGGGTTGGTTTCGACCCCAACCCGAAACCAAAACCAAATTAGTCGGTTTGGAAAAATTTCAACCCAAACCAACCCACTCTAGCTCTTAAACCGGTTAGTCGGTTTAGATTTTAAATAATATTGCATCATAAAAAATAAAAAGTCATACAAAAAATAATGTATGTCATTCAATTTAACTACTCACACTGACGCAACCAAGAACCAACGCATAATCATAACAAAACCGAATCTTCATCAAACTTTTTTCCCATCTCAATAGTTCATCTTCATCAACCTGGATATATGGTGGATATCCATAAGAATAAAAGAGACGCCAAATTACGTTTACTGCACTTAATTAAATATGAACTACTAAACATATCACAATTAGTTCTTTCTTCCAACTCAATAGAGGCAGGATATGATCAGAATTGAAAATAACCAGAACTAAGCATAATCCAAAACCAAGACTAAGAAAATAACCAGAACTAAGCATAATCCAAATTCAAGAGTAAGAAAATAAAATTTATGTTACAAGAAAGAAACTCAAGCACAAAAAATAAATTGTGTTAACATCTAATGTCTAGATTTTAAAAAAATAAATATCCAGGAAAGTAAAATTCAAATTCCAAAAGTTTTGAATTTTGACTTTTCTTTTTTCAAAAAATAAAAAAAATAAAAAAAAATAGAAACATGTATAAGTGGGTTGGATCGGTTAACCAGTGGTTTAAGACTTTAAACCATGACTAAACCGAACCACCGTGGTTTTGTTTAAAATAAAATCAAACCAAACCAATAACTATGTCAAACCGACCCAAATCGACCCGAGTCGGTTTGGTTTGGTCGGTTTTTCGATTTTTTTACCTACCCCTAAACGCCATAGACGACAAATTTCCTTCAAATTTAACAGAAACACAAAAAGAAGAATATGATTAACTTGCTTATAATTCAATTATTTTACACCTATCCGACACCGTTTTGAGTACAGTTGGAAAACTTGACTCTACCAAAGAACTTTGGAAAAAGTTGGCAGATTTATATTTGCTTAAATCTACTCCTAATAAGTTATACTTGCTTGAAAGATTTTTTAGCTTTAAAATGAATCTTTCAAATGATCTCGATGACAATTTGGATATTTTTAACAAGTTGGTTCAAGATATCGTTAATTGTGATGAGAATGTGTTTGAAACTTATAAGGCCATCATTTTGCTTTTCTACGCCTAATTCATATAGAGAGGTTAAGAATGCGATTAAGTAGGGTAGGGACACTAACACCTGAGATTGTCATAGATTCTCTTAAGAGTAAGGAGATGGAGATTAAGGCTAAAAAAGAAGATAAGAATAGTGGTGAGTTGCATATGATGAGGAGTAGAATGAAGTTTAAGTAGATAAGTTTGGGTAGAGTTCAAGACAATGGTGATTCGAGTAGTGACTCGAGTGATAAGGGTGGTAGGAAGAAGGGCAAGGGATGGGACAAGTCTAGTGGTAGACAGTGTTACAATTGTGGTAAGACTGGACATTTTATTAGGGATTGTCCAAAGAAGGAAAATGATAAGCAGAATGGTAAGATGAGAGGCGAGACGAATTTGGCATTAGGGTCGAGTGATGACTCTATTGAGGTTTATTGAGAGTAAACCTAGTTGCTGCATTTGCATCCGTATGTAATCCCTTCTAAATGTGTGCGATTGCTCAATTCTGTTACATGATTATATGTTGCATTTCAATGTGTTTGATATGTGCATTGGCATGAATTTGAGTGATCTTATTACTTGGTGTAATTGTTTACATGCATAATGGGTTTGGATGTATTAGCAGTGAGTTGTATGTCTTTTGGTAAGGTGGAGTATAGATGCCTAGGGGTACATTGGTGGTTTGTACCGGGGATGTGGAGTGTGACATTTGGATCACGAGTGGAGAGGTGGTCAAATGTTGGAATCATTTATCTGTGAAGAGACCCTGATCAGGTGGAGCGTGAGATAGACACTTCTATCACTTCTGTTAGGTGGAGACCAATTATCCACTTAGGTTGGGAGAAGTGATGTGGTGATAGAGGATTATCCCGAGAACTTATGATCTATATAGATTTACCAGTTAAACATAAGTTAAGTGACTAGTCTAGTGAGCATGGTGGGCGATGAGGTGAGATATGTGATCTCGAGGTATGAGCAACACGGAATGGGATAGTATAAGTGTGGTGAGATCCTTTTGTGAGGTTATTTATACATATGTTGCATATGTGTTGGCTTGTTGATTAACTTGGTGTTAATCTATTGTTCTGTGTGAACATGTGTTATTCTATATATGATATCTCCATCGCATGTTTATTTGCTCTTGATTGATTACTGTGATTATCTGCTTCTACTTAGGTGTTCTTGATATTAGCTCGGTGAGTACATGGAACAGGTATGGTATACATTTCGGGTTCGAAACACGAGGTAAGGTCTGTGATACCAATTTATTGGTTACCTTGATTATGCAAGTATAAACTGTGTGTTTTGGTTGCTTGCAGATTTATTGGAAATTAAGGTGGAGATTTGTTGGGTTTTGATACCCAATAAATCCCGGGCGATGATGTTAAACCGATTTTATTAGATTATACTTCATAGGCCTCGGTCGACGAATGAAGTGAAATATCGACACCACAATCGAACAAACCAATCGATAACCTATTTGGTCATTTGAAGTAAACTAATTTAATTAGTGCTGCTCATGGCCCGACCCATTACCTTGGACGGCTTTTACGGTTAACAACCCATTTATTATCATTCTTATTGGGCCCTATTTCCTATTACCCTAAAAGCCCAAACTTGGTACCTTTATATACCTCGCCTCGTTACTGTTGAAGTAGTGTGAAAGTTTGGGCAGCCGTGTGTTGAGAGAAATGCTGAGTCCCTTTGCTTCGTGCTTTCTTCCTTGGCTTCGTGCCTCATGTGCTTTGTCTTTTCCTCCTTTCTTAGCCTTTGTAGCTTACCCGTGAGCTCTCATAACCTCTTCACACTCAGCCTTTTGTGGGCAAATCATAGAGCAACCGTTTTGGGAAGATTGGTTTGGAATTTGGTTTGTTGTTTATGGTGGTCGATTGATAGTAACTAGGCCCAGAAATTGAAAGATTGGAGCACAATATTCAACAGTCTGTATTACTAACGATCAGGTTTTTAGAAGTATTCACTAAAAATATGCTGGATTTCTCTCTAAATTTTTAACATGCAACTCTACAAAGAACTTTCATTCCAAAATACTTTCATATTTGGGTAGTTGGGTGCACGGACAAAGAAAAATTGTACATACCAGTAGGAATGCCTCTTCCTTGAGTACTAACCTGGCTTAGGCTCCCCAACTGCACTTCAAAATTGACATCAAGCAATATGCTGCTGGCTTGTACATCTTTATGAATATAAAGAAACTGTTCTTACCACAAGGATCTAAAAGTTAAGAGTTTTAAGACTACTGCGAATGGAAAAATCATATCAAAACTAAAGTATTAATTAAATAGGGTCATTCGAGATTTAAGGAGAATCGAGTAATGGTGTACCCGTGAACAAGAGGTGGAGCACATTCAGCATGTAGAAATACTAAACCATCAGCAACCCCAATTGCAATTTTTGACCTTATAATCCAATCCAGCGATGGTAGTCTATCGTTATGGTCATCAGGTTTCTTAAACAAGGCACAAGATAAATCTGCATTTGACGTATATCTGTAAACCAGAAACTTCTCATCCTTGTCATCGAAGCAATGTCCCAAAAAAGGAACAAATCTCCGATCAGAAATCTTGCTAAAGAAATCCAACTCTAAAAAACACGCATTCCATTCGATAAATCTTTTAACAACAACATGAGTTAAATCTTCAATTCCATTTCTATTTTTAACAGAAAACGATTCTTCCAAAGTTTCCCAGAAGTTATCACCAGATTAATTGTGCTTAATTAAGTTTTCATCACTGAAATCCCCAGTCACCTGGATAATCTGCTCGTAACTAAACGAAATTCCCATATTCACGAAATTAAGACACAGTTCTGTCACGGCTCGACTCCAAATTCAGCTCCTTCTTCATCGAAACTCTCTACAACACAAATCAACTGAAACCAGCTGATGAATTACCAGTTGGACAAAAGAAAAATAGAAATTGGGGAGGATGATGAAAAATTGAGAAGAGATGGGAGATAAATTGAATTGAAGAATCAATCCACTAATAACAGAAATTACATAACAATTCACGTGCCTTCTGCACAAAGTATATAGACACACACTCCAGTAGAGCAGAAAATGTGATTTTGGCTAACAGAATTTGAAGAAAAACGTTTTCAATTATTACACTTTAATCAAAAGTAAAACGACGCCGTTTCTTTAGGGGTAAAACGACGCCGTTCCAGATTTCAAATGTTAGTTAATTTCGTTCCAATTCTTTCTTCTTTCCTTCCCTCTGGTTTGCTGAGCTTCTTCTTCCCTTGTTCCTTTTACTTTTCTTTCCCCAAGTGCTTCCTCCATAACAATCATTCCTCCATAAAACTCGTACCCAAATTCGCCACTACGAGATCCAATTTCTTCAAATGTTCATCCATTGCTTTAGACCTCGTATCCATTTCTGTCAATTACCCAGTAATATACACCTGCTCTGATATCAATTTATCACGACTTGACTCCAAATTCAGCTCCTTCTTCATCGTAACTCTCTGCAACACAAATCAGCTGAAACTAGTTGATGAATTACCAATTCGACAAAAGAAAAATAGAAATTGGGGGGATGATGAAAAATTGAGAAACGATGAGCGATAAGTTGAATTGAAGAATCAATCCACTAATAACAGAAATTACATAACAATTCATGTGCCTTTTTCACAGAGTATATATATATATACACACACACACACACATACACTCCAACAGAGCAGAAAACGTGATTTTGGCTAACTGAATTTGATGAAAATTGCTTTCAATTATTACACATTAATCAAAAGTAAAACAACGCCATTTCTTCAGGTTCCAGATTTAAAATGTTAGTTAATTCCGTTCCAATTCTTTCTTCTTTCCTTCCCTCTGGTTTACTAAGCTTCTTCTTCCCTTGTTCCTTTTACTTTTCTTTTCCCAAGTGCTTCCTCCATAACAATCCTTACCCTTACCTGATCTTGTCCCCAAGATCTACTCATAGGAAACTGAAATTTAATCCATTCTGAGTCATCCCAAGTTGCACTTTCTGGTGAAGAATCTGACCAATGTATAAGCCACTGAACTGCATGTTTATTTTTGTGCTGCACCATTCGAGTTTGTAAAATAAAAAGAGGTTGATGATTCAGATGTGAAGTCTGGTTTCCTTCTGGTAATTGCAATACTGGTATGATATTATCCCCAAGCTGTTTCTTTAACAAGAACACATGGAAAAATGGGTGAATCTTCGATCCATCCGGTAACGCCAATTGGTAAGCCACTTCCCTAATTCTCTTAACATTCTAATACGAGCCAAAGTATTGAGCACTCACTTTGTGATGAGGTCTGCATTCTACTGACTGTTGGGTATGAGGATGTTACTTAAGGAAAACCCAATCTCCTTCCTCTAAGGACCGCTCTATTCGATTCATGTCAGCATAGTGTTTCATATGAGCCATCGCCTGTGATAGATTATCCTTTGGTAGTTGGTCTAGTTTATACCTTTCCTGAAGCAATTCGTCTACTACAACTACATTAGATTGTTGATAGGGCTCTAGTGCCAATTGGGGAGGTTTCATTCCATATAAAACTTCAAACGGGGTCATTCTTATAGCAGTATGATANTCCTCTTTGTCATCGACGACATCTTTTCCTCTGTTTTTTTCAGCTCAGCCAAGAGATGATCTCATGTCAACAAACAGTCCAAGTAGCGAGGCTGATTTTTTTTGGGGGGATTCAAGTCATCAGACTTTTTCACGATAATACTTGAAGGCACGATTAGAGAAGAAAAAGAGTCCAAAATCTCGCATGTGGTCATGTTGAGTATTATCTAATACTATACACCAAAATCGAGAATGAAATTTTCATTCAGCATATGTCAGATCATAAATTAGTAACTGCATCCAATTTCAAAAAAAAAAATTCCAATTGTGTTGAGACTATCTTCTTCCTATTTATGGCTGCTTTCTCCACAGGACTTGGAAGAGCTCCCATCAAGTACACTTCCAAGCATTGGTTGGCCCTTTCAGTTTGCCCATCTGTTTGAGGGTGGTAGGCGGAGCTAAAATATAGTTTAGTTCCTAGTAGATGAAAGAGCTCCAGCTAGAATTTGCTGGTGAAGACCTTATCTCTATCAGAGATTATACTTAGAGGCATTATGTGTAACTTGTAGTTATGGTCTAGAAAGAGTTTTGCCACTGATAAGGGTGTAAAATGGTGTGTCATGGCTATAAAATGTCCATATTTTGTGAATCTATCTACCACTACCAAAATGGTGTTTCTTCCTCCGGAGTTGGGTAGTCCCTTAATGAAGTCCATGCTGATGTAGCTCCATGAGTGTAAGGGTTGAGGCAAGGGCTGCAGTAGTCCTAGGTAAGGAACATGTTCTCCCTTGCATTTCTGACACACTTTACATTGTAACACCACCTGTCTGATCTCCTGGGTCATTCTTGGCTAGTAAAACAGCTATTTTGCTCTATAAAGGCTACTATGAATACCCGAATGGCCTCCTTCTGGTCAACCATGTAGGTTCTGAATTAGTTTAGATCAAATGTCTCCTCCAGCCCCAATATATATTTTTCCTTCATGCTTTAACAACCCATTTTCATAAGTGAAGTCAAGATCAGATTTTGGATTTATTAACAGTGATCGGATCTTGTCTTTTGCTTCCTTATCTTCCTTATAGCTTCCCATAACTTCTCCAATCCAAGCAGATATGACTACTTATATACCTGAACATCCAGGACTCTCATCATGTCTCCTTGGGAATGCATCTGCGACGACATTATCCACTCTCCTTTTATAAACAATCTCATAGCTGAGGCCAAGCAGTTTGGTGAGCCACTTCTGTTGGAACGGAGTTGTGATCCTTTGTTCAAGTAGGTACTTGAGAGCTTGGTGGTCAGTCTTTACCACAAAGTGGTTGCCCTCTAGATATTGCCTCCACTTACATACAACAGTTACCAAGGCTAGTAACTCATTCTCGTAAATAGATAGTCCCATGTTTGTAACTCCAATTGCCTTACTCAAGTACGCTAAAGGTCTTCTACCTTGCATTAACACAGCTCCTATACCACCTTGATAGGCATCCATTTCTATTATAAAGGGTTGGCTGAAATCAGGGAGGGGCTGAAATCAGGGAGGGCCAACACTGGAGTGGAACTCATTGCTTCTTTCAACAAAACAAAAGATGAATCTGCCACTTCTGACCAATGGAAGTTGTCTTTTTTAAGCAGGTCAGTGAGAGGTTTGGCTATGATTCCATATCTTCTAACAAATTTCATGTAGTAACCAGTGATGCCTAGAAACCCCCTTAACTGCTTGATGTTCATTGGTTGAGGCCACTGCTTCATTGCTTCAACCTTGATAGGGTCTGCTACCACCCCATGCTGGTTGATTATATGCCCCAAATACTCAACCTATTTTTTGCCAAAGTTACATTTAGATCCCTTGGCATATAACTTATGCTTCTGTAAGATTTTAAGTACCGATCTGAGATGGTGGCAATGTGAATCTAGGTCTTGACTGTAAACCAGAATATCATAAAAAAAAAACCAGTATATAATCTCTTAGCTGATCCTTAAACACCTCATTCATGAGGCTCTAAAAAGTGGCAGGTTCATTGGCAAGGCCAAAAGGCATCACCTTAAATTCATATAGGCTTTGGTGAGTTTTGAAAATGGTCTTATGGGTGTCAACCTCTGTAACCCTGATGTGGTGGTACCCTGCCTTGAGGTCAATTTAGAATAGAATTTGGATCCATTCAGCTCATCCAAAACCTCATCAATCATAGGCATGGGAAACTTATCTTTGATAGTAATATTGTTTAACTGCATGTAGTCTGTGAAAAATTGCCATGATCCATCTTTCTTCTTGACTAAGATAACTGGAAATGGAAAGGGGCTATTGATGTGCTTGATTATGCCACTATCCATCATTTCCTTAACCAGCTTCTCAATTTTAGATTTTTGGATGAAGGGGCATCTATATGATCTTATCTTGAAAGGTTGAACACCTTCTTTCAGATGTATGTGGTGATCATGGGCTTGAGGAGGTGGCAACCCTTTCGCTTCCACAAATACCACAGGGAACTAATCAACAACTTCAGTGATTTGGCCTGGGATCTCCCCTCCTTCTTTCTCAGTGACATACAATTGTCCAATAACTCCATATTGTCGCCTTTTAAATAAATTTCGTACCTCTTCCACTTCTATCGTCATCACCCGAGGCTCTACATTTTCATATCTTAGTGTTATTTTTTCCTGTTCATGTTTAAATCGAATATATCCTCATTTGAAATCAAATATGATAGGTCGAAATTGACTCATTCAGTTAACACCTAGCACCATATCACTACCTCCCAACTTCAAGGTTCCCATCTTATATTGGAATTCCCAGTTGTACACCTTCCAAACTTGTGGTTGAACCAAGGCTTTACTATCTAGGTTTTCACCATTAGCCACCCTCACTGTCATGGTTTTAGTCTCCTCTATAGGATAGTTCAGCTCCTTAGCCAGCCTATCATCTATGAAGCTATGAGTGCTTCCACTAGCTACTAAAATAGATATGCTCATTCCCTTAATAGTTCATGGAAATTCCTAGCCAAAGCACTGATAGATGTTTCCATAACTTCATCTTCATCTGATTCAGGTTCTCTATCTTCTTTAATTCCATCCCCCTCCTCTTCATCCACCAATATGAAATTCAATGCTCTATTCTTACACACATGCCCTACAGTGTACTTTTCAACACATTTGTAACACATCCCCAGGTTTTTCTTGGTTTGAAAATCAAAAGGTGTGATTGTTTTATAACTATTTGGTGGTTTATTCCTTTTTGGCCATGGTTCTTTGGGTTTGGTTTCTTCAAGTGGTTTTGGGAAGTAAGAGTTCCACTTGTTAGGTGTGAAACTCTTAGGTTTTTGGTATTTGTTTATGGCTTGAATGGTTTATTCCTGTAGGCTAACCACGTCAAATGCTTTAGCTAGGGTGTTTGGTTTCATCATCTTCACCATGGACTTAATCTCCCTTCTCAATCCACTAGTAAATACAGCAATATAATAAGATTCAGTAACATGTGGTAAGGCTACCATCACATGTGATTTGAGTTCTTCGAATTTCTCCTGGTATTCATCTATGGAGCCAGTTGTTTGATCTTACTGAAGATCTCTACTACTTCTTCCCCAGATGTCGGCCTTCCCTTCTAGGTACATTTCTACCACTTCCACTCTAAGTTCATCTGGAACCTGATGTAGTTGGAAATATTTCCTGGCTTTCCTCAGCCATTCCCTAGGACCTTCTCCGCCAAAATGAGGGAAATCTATCTTAGGCAGCCTAGTATTCTCCTTCAATTCACCTCTGGAAATAACACTAGCCTCCATACTACTAGCTCCTGGTGTGTAAGTCTCACTTCTAGGCTTCCCTTCAATTATAGACTTCGATTTAACTGTCAATTAAAAAACCTCTGATGTCATAATCATGTCTATTAGCTAGGTGACGAATTTCATATTGCGAGTATATGTTCGTCGTTGTTTCATTTTAGTTCTAATACAAAAAGATATCGACCGACAATTTGATCTCACCCATAGATATAGTGAAGAATTTCAAATTAGTAATTGAAGTCCATTATGTGCTTAGGAATAAGGTGCTAGCCCAAGGATAACTAACCAATAGGGGGTGAATTGATTTTTAAAACATTTTCGAATAATTAATCTAAATTCAAGCAAATAAAGACTAAATAGATCAATTCAAATAATAAGTTCAAATATGAAAACGATAAGTAAAAGGGAGAGATGATGCAAACGATGTAATTGTGAAGGTTCGATCCAAAGCAATGATCTATGTCCTTTGTTACCAAGTTATCCGGCACAAGTAAGGTTATGTTGATTGACTTATGGTGCAATCCAACCATTTACAACGCTTCCGGTGACTTATAAATAAAGAGTACTGATCCTTATACAATGTTGAACTTTACGGGACCTCGACAGACCCACTATTGAGTTTTAATGGGACCTCTATATGATCCACACTATTGAGCTTTACGGGACCTCAAAACCCACACAGTGACTTACAACAAGGAGCATCGATCCATTTACAATGTTGATCTTTATTGGACTTCGACACGACCTATACTTTATTAAAGTGATTTTACTATATAATTCTTCTCTTGATAAATAATACAAGAAATTAAGTACTAAGAGAGACTAACATTTCAATGAATAACAATAAATGATAACTCAAGTGTTGAATGAAAAATTTTGATGTATATAATAATTAGAAATTTGATTCAATCAATCAAAATTTTTCAATGAGAAAATGTAGAAGAAATAAATGTAATGTAAGTTCAAAAATCTTCTTAAAATATATCTCTTTTAATTATTAATTATAATAAATTAAGTACCAAGAGAGAAATAAGAAATTTCGATGAATATGACGAATTACAAATTTGATTCAATCAATCAAAAATTTCAACATGAAGAATTAAAAGAAATATATGCAATGTAAGTTAAAAAAATCTTCTTCAAAATATATCTCTCTTTTATGAGTAATAGAAATAAGTTGTAAGTATAAAAAGAGAAATGAAAGACTTTGATGAAGATGATGATTAAAGAGTTTGAATCATTCAAAATTTTTGATAAGAAATAAATGAAATTAATGCAAAAGTAAGTTTTAAAGAAATCACTCAAAAGTGTCTCACTTTGATGCTCTTGAAGAATGTTATAATGAATGTAAGAAATAGAAATATTTATAAAGTTCAAAACGTCAAAAAAATTTGAGACTTCGGATGACTTTTCTGGTCGATCGCCCCTTGTCCGGATGACCAATATTGCCGTTTGTACAATAAAAATAGAGATCAGAACAATCAAGTTTTGGACCGTTGAAACCTTCCAGTCGACCACCTCTTCCGACCGGTCAACTCCCTGACAGTTCTGTCTTTTTACGTTTTGATCCCGTTTATTTCAATTCAAAGGTTTTGAAAGGTATGAATATTTGGAAAGTATTTTTAACTAACTTTTCAAGATAAAACATGTTTTTGAAGTCCAAATATCATTTTTAAAAGTCATTTTTATATTTGATCAAATCGTTGCATTAGAATGACATTTAATACTGGAAGTTCATTTTTTCTATTCAATTAAAGACAAAAATTAGTGCCTGTTTGGCACCCCTTTTTTTGTGATTTTTGAGGCAACTCCCTATTTTTCTACAGTAATTTTCAGAGTTTTCCTGTCAATTTCCAACAATTGTGGGCCCAAAGTCAGAAAAGTAGGAATGTCGAACTGACTCATCACAGTTTTGCCAGTTCATTTCAATTATCAAAAAATGACATTTTCATTTTTGCCCTTCTAATTGTTTTTTCATTTCCTAGGGCCTGTTTGGTACAGATTCTCCTTTTCTACAGTAAATCAATTCTCATTTTCAACCACACATTCTTCAATAAAATAATATTTTCCATCACATCAATACTTTTTTCTTTTTTTTCAATCACAGATTTCTCATCAAATCACTATTCAAAAATCAATTCTTCCCCCAAAAATCCCTACCAAACACACTCCTAATGTCTCAAAAAATTTCCCTAAAAATAAAGGGCAAATTAATCCAATATTTCAATGGAATTATGATTCTGTGCACATATATGACGGGTATTCAAATGTTACTGTGTTCTCTGACAATTACGGTAGAAAAATGAGAAGTTGCCTCAAAAAACACAAAAAAAGGGTGCCAAACAGGTTCTTAATGTCAACTATATATTTATACCTATTATCTATATATTATTCACACATTGCATGCAACTTGCTACTATTTTTTGATAATATAGTTTTTTGAATCCCGAGATTTAGTGNATTTGTAACCACACATTCTTCAAATAAAATAATATTACACATTAACCCAAAAATTCTTCTTACTTTTTAACCACACATTCTTTACATCAATCACTATTCAAAAACTCATTCTTCAAAATAATGGGTGTCAAACGGGGCCATATTATTTGATATTATAGTTTTAGAAATATTAAAACATATATCTTATACGTGACCATTGTTTGATCTCATTATTTTAAAAATACATATTTCTCTTTATTTTTTTCAATAACACATTCTCTAATAAAATAATATTAATAATAAATTTAATTTTTTTCATTATTTTTTAATCATATATTCACCGTCAATTTACTATTAATTGCAATTGCAAATATAAAAGAGGGAATGCTATGTTCACTGTTCATTTATCATCCCTCCAATTCACACTCTACTGGACAATCGACTTCTCCAGCACGTTTCGGCCTTCCCCACTCTTACCCTTTCCTTTATTCTTGTACGACGAAGACAAAGACGATGACGAAGAAGGATCTGTCGCAGCAGCTAATACCAGAAGCCTCCTATTTCCGCAAAACCACTTTTTCATTTCAAACCCTCAAAGACCTCAATCTCACTCAACAAAAAGGGCACTAGCTAACACAATCGGGAGAACAGCTTCACGAGTTGTACCTTTAGCCATCTGGGCTTCATCTGGAAGTCGAAGGTACCACCACCACTACTCTGCCCTCTTTGACGCTGTCAAAACCCGTGGCAATCTCTCTCGAAAGTTGTTCCCGAGGTCGTTTTCGGCTTCCATTCATCACTATTCCCCTAAAAGGCCGAGTTCCGATAAGTCACTCCTCCGAGTCATCGAGTCCGAGATTCAATGTGCTCAGGAGTCCGAGGATAATGACGAGGTTTTATTTCTTTTATTTATTAACATTTTTATGTAAATAACTTGTCTTTGTTATGTGTCTATTGCTATAAACTGAGGGACTGAAAATTTTTCTTGAAATTTTATTTAATCTTTGATGTTTGGAAAATGGTTTCGAATGACTTGCGAATTTTATTTAGTTTGAATGAATTTTTTGTATAATAGATTGCAGTATTGTCATTTTAATTTCTATGTACAGGGATTAATAAATAGGGATATATTTTGTTGCTTGGTCATATTGGGAGAACTTTTATAATGTGTAAATAATTTTTTATGTACGATTTTGGTAACATGATGCCAAATTAGAGCACGGGTTGCTGACTTTTGCTAGAAAATGTTGGAAAATGAAAGAAATGATATTCTGCAATTTATTTTGATATTTTATTCTCTATAGTTTCTCTAATTAATTTGGGAAATGGATTTTTCTAATGTAATTATATTAAAAAATCTCTGCTGCATTTAAATGGAAACGGAGGGTTAGTGATTTTGTGCATTAATTAGATTTCTGTTTGTTAATTCGGCATTTTGTAGTTTTATTGTAGTTAATTATTATTCATTATCTATTATGCCTCTTGAAGCCCATCTAATATCAATTGTGTATATACTAATATTTTTTCGTTGATCATGTGTACGAACTCTATTTTGGGTAATAATGATTTGTCTTACAGGTTGTGGAGGTGCACCAGGGTTTTCCTTTTAAAATTGAAGACCATCCCGGATGGCAAACAATAACTGTAACTAGAGAATCTCAAGGTGAAACTATCAGTGTCGAAGTTCACATGCCTGACCTTGTAACTGGTGAGGAGAACGATGATGGCAACGACCCTCAATTGAGTATACCTCTTGTTGTCAGAGTTTCCAAGAGGAATGGACCCTGTTTAAAGTTCGGATGTACACTTACCCTGATGAGATTGCAATTGACAGCTTGTCTGTTAAGGACCCTGAGAGCTCTGAAGACCAAATAGCATATGAAGGACTTGATTTCACGTTAGTAGCTAAATATCTTTGTGATATGATCCAGGACAGACAATACATAAAAGATACGGATTTCCTTTTTCGCGAGTTTCCTTATTTCATTAGAGTTTTAATTTGGATGGATATCTTATGTAATCTTTTAGAATCAATTTCGTGTAGACTAGGGTTTTTATAGTTTCTTATAAATAGTTCCCATATTACTCATTGTAAACATATATTATTTTTTTGGTGATTAATATCATAATTCAGGTTTCCCTCTCCATTGGTTCTTGATTGAACTTTCGAACTTATCAAATATTTTCAATGCTTGTGGCGTTCAAAATCTTAGAACTTATCAAAGGATTAGGCACCCTTTGTGGCGTTCACAAATCGAGGTTCTTGTCTCCGCATATCAATGGGTCCAAGGTTTAATATGCCTTAGGTTCTTGATTCGTGAGGCTCGGGTCAAGATTCCACCATCTACAACTTGAATTTGGGCTTTCCCGGCGTTTTCGACTAATTCCGCGAGTTCCACGCGATTCCGCTTCCCGGGATCACGTCACTTTGTCTATGTATCATGTTTATGTTATCTCTGAGTGCTATGTTTTTCTCTTCCAAATAATATGCAAACGGTGATTTTTATCTTTCAGGGACTTGGGATGGAAATCTTCAGAAGGCTTTTCACAAGTATCTAGAGATAAGAGGAATCTAGCCCAACGCAACCAACTTGTTGCATGAGTACATGATTGGCAAAGAGAGCAAATAATACGTATCTTGGCTAAAGAACCTCAAGAAGTTTGTCGAGGCATGGACACCAAAAAGAGATGTCCAGAGATTGCAGTAGTTGTATTAGTTGAAAGATATGAAAATGAGATTGTGGGAGATTGAGGAAGAAGCAGGGACACTCTAAGCAGAGGGGCAGGGCTCAAGGTCTTTTTATTACTCACTCTAAGCACTTGTTCCTATATATATTTGATGTTATATATAGATATGTTTTTAAAATTCTGGACTTTGGCTTCGTTTGCTTTTTAACTAAAAATTTCCTGTGATGGGTTGATTTCGTGATGTGCTGACTCCAATAGTTCAAGTCTTTTAGAGGGATAAATTTTAATTGAATGACTTTAAAGCTTTAATGCTTCTGGATTGCTTTTTCCTTTTCCCCCGGGAGCGGGCACACTCTGGTAAGAATGATAAAACCTACTTTTATAATTTTATAGTGATGCATATAAGTTTTAAAAATTTATTTTCTAACTGGGTGGTTTTCCCTCTTATTTGCCCCTTCCAGGTACCCAAATTAAAACAATTGTTCAGTATACCCCTTCACAGCATGTTCCAAAGCAGTGGTCTAAAAAGGATGGGCGCGAAGGGACCATACTGAAAGGCATTTAACTTGTGTGCTGATTGCACGTGGTTTCCATGCTATCAACTGTTCGTTTGGAATCACGGTTGATTTGTTGATATACATGTAGATCCTGAATATTAGGAATTCCTTGAATTCTTGCAAAGCCTGTTGAGAATCTTCCCAGTGCAGAGATACAGTAGGAGAGGAATGAGTTGGAACGAGTTGGTGAGCTGATTGTTTTAGCTTATGTGTACTCGTAGGACAATCCGAGATTTAATTTCTGAAATGGTACAATCTGAAGGCAAGAAATTTTGTATTTTCTTTTTAGTTTAAATGATTTCCTGATTTCTTTTTAGGCGCTCCAAAGGATGCTCCTATAGTTACTCCTTTAATGGACTTTGTTCGTCAGAAAAGACCTGCTTAGAGTGGAACTCGGGTAGGGAATCTTACCATTTGCTCACTACAAAGCGGTTTTTATCTTTCCCTTTCTCAAGGAAATATATAGTTGTATCTAGAGATGTCAATCCGGGTGCCAACATGAAAAAAGCCCGCCCGCTGCGGGTTCCGGGCCGGTTACGGGTCGGCCCACAATTTTGGACTACAACCCAGGCCCGCCCGCTGACCCATCCGGGTCGAGCCCATGCGGGTCACGGGTCGCGCGGGTCGCGGATCGTTCC